CTAAAAGAATTTATCCCCATGGCTCTTGAAGATCCGGTTTTCTGGAAAACCAGTTTTTCAGGAACTCTAAAAAAATAACCAAAACGTTTCCTAATAAGGCATGGTTGTAGTCCGTAAATTTCTGATTAAAATGAGACGTCTCCCAGCTCTACACGACCTTTCTTTGCAAAGTTATAGAATTTACAACAAACATCTAGGCCTTTTCTTGTAAGACCCTTTCAGAAAACCTGAAGATCTTGAAATTCATTTTGAAAATTTTTCAACCACACCAGTCGACAGCCCGTTCAGTTCTGCAAAACACGAGATGTCAACCAACTTTTCATCATATTAAATGACTGACTTATAGGCTTTATAAAATTATTGGCATAAATTCTTTGGGACGTTTTCACTCAATGCTAAATTTTTGATCTACTTTGTATTTCTTCATTATTTTTTAATGGAACCTCATGGAAACTTGCTTGACATCTCATTTTGGGCAAAGTAGCACGGGTTGTCGACTGATGTGGTTGAAAAATTTTCAAAATGAATTTCAAGATCTTTAGGTTTTCAGAAATCGTTTTTTCCAGACCCTGTGATGGTACATAGAACTTTTTCATTGATATAGACAGAACTCGACGAACTCTTTCATTTGAGACCAAATTCAAAGTTCTGCGTTCGAGACTGCGGATTGGAAAAGTTTTACAAGTTAGGTCAAATTCACTGGAAAACTGAAAAATGCACTTTCCCGTTGGAAGGATAAAATGGTCATCAGTTTTTTCCCTACAAGAATGGAGAGCTGCAATTTTCACCATTCCATTCAGCTTCTCGAGTTCTATGGGAGGTATATCTCATCGTTTTCACCGATACTTTTGTATATCGTGCTAGATATCATATGTATTGAGTGTTTTTTTTCTACTCATACAATGGTAGCCTTATAATTATAAGCTCTTGACTTTTGCTACTTTCCCTTCAGCCATGTGTTTTATCTTAACTTTTCTTCTGGGTTTCATGTGTTTGATGAAATAAATTTCAGTTCAGTTCAGTTCAGAGTGAACCTTGAAAAATGCATAACTCAACTCCACGGACCAACTTAGGGTTATTCTAGTCTGGAGATCCTCTACTTGTGGGCAAAATATCGGCTCAAGAGCGATTGAACACCTCGAGAGGTTTCCTCGTGAGTTTAGCTCACAAACGAATACTGTGTACAGTTTTCAGACTACAAAACTTTGCTAGGAAACACCTGAGCAATAGCAAACACTTGGTCGTCACCTTTTTTTATGTCCAGCAGGCATTTGGCTCTGTTTGGTTTGATGGTCTAGTCTACAAATTATTTGATTTGAAGCTGCCGGACTATATCACTCGTTGGATAATATCCCCTCTCAACGACAGAACAGCTGCAATCGAAGTAGAAAGGTTGTTATCGAACAAATTTGGTTTAAGAAGTGGAACGCCTCCAGGATCTTCTTTAGCGTCACTTCTCATATTATATACTGCAGATTCAATGAGTGACATACCAGATCACACCCACTGGCTTATTTGCTGACGACACAGCACTACTCTCTAAAAATAAAGGTATTTTAAAATACGGAAAATGGTATAACCATTTGAATCATATCATAACTGTTTAAACGGTTTTTACTTTTATCAAAAAACTCTTTTGAGATTTTTAGTATACGAAAAAGCAGTGATTTAAAAAACCCTGAATTGCTTTGGTATTTTAAAATATCTGTAAGGTTTTTTGTGACATGAAGAAACCTCACCCGTTTTTCAGAACATAATTTAGCCGTATTTTAGAAAACGAAAATTAGGTTTTTAATAAGAATAAGAAACTTTTAAACAGTTATGATATAGTTCAAATGGCTATACCCTTTAAACGTTTTTCACGGGTGGTTACACTTGTTTTTGGGTTTTTCTCAAATGGTAAATACTTTTTAGGGTTTTTTGAGATACCTTTTTTTTAGAGTGTATGGACGATAGAGGTGTGCAGGGTATGAGTTTTTTGTACCCTGCGCCCTACCCTATTGACTTCAGACAGTTTGCACTCTACCCTACTCTCTAAAAAAAATCCGTAGCTTACAAAACGAATATCGGTTTTGGCATTTGCTCCTAATAGAAACCGATATCCGTATCGTACAGTCCTGCATACCCGTTTCGCAGAATACGTTTCAACGTTTTTTCTCTGGTACAAAACCTAAATCCGTTTCTTCACAAGGCAAAAAACGTTGAAACGTATTCTGCGAAACGGTTATGCAGGACTGTACGATACGGATATCGGTTTCTATTAGGAGCAAATGCCAAAACCGATATTCGTTTTGTAAGCTACGGATTTTTTTTAGAGAGTACTCCTAAGAAAGTAGGAGTAAAATAGGATCATTCATTCAGCGATCGAAGTTCGTTTTTCTACCTACAGCTTTAATCAAAAACAATAAACACACATTTTGTTGCTGCCGAAAATTTCGCGATAACAATATGTCGTCAAGTACGTCGGGAGTCAAGAATTATTGTCTTTTGTTATAATATTGGCCAGTAGAGTTGAATATTCTTTCGGATGTGGCCGAGCTCGCAGGAACTCCCAACAATGATCGAGACAACAAACTGAGATTTAGATAGATGACAGCATAATAGCATGACTCATGAAGTCATACACCACTAAAGGAGCGAATGTCTCTCAATATTAAGCGTTCTTTATCTTATAGGGTACAGTCTACGACAAACGTCTCAACCTGCACCCTATACTATAAAAATGTTTTGTACCTTTAATCTACCCTACCCTAGGGTAGGGTAAGATCATTCTACACATCTCTGACGGACGACTTGCAATATCACATCAGGTCTAAGCAAACGGCTGCAGGAATCGGTAGACCCTTTTCAATGTTCGTGTCGATCTTGGAAACTAACGTTACAGTCAACCAAAACAGAACTTCTTCATTTCGACCCGCATTCATGTAAAAAGTACAAAAATCTCGTTACAGTGACTGTTGGAATAACAACAGTACGGTCACTACCATATGCCAGGTATTTAGGGGTGATTTTTGATCAAACTCTCTCGTGGAAACATCACACTACACATATTAAGAATCGCACACAACAAAGAATTAGTCTGTTACGGTTCCTCTATACATCTTTGCCACATTCAAACCATAGAATAATGATCAACTTATTTAAATCATTAATCAGATCAGTTTTAATCTATGGAGCAGCAGTTTTGCTAAAAGCAGACGATAAAATATGGAAGCAGCTCCAAATACTACAAAATACAAGCTTAAGAGCGGCACTGGGAGTACCATGCTACACCTCGACTACATACATTCATCAAGAAAGCAGATTATCCTAGTTAAAAGATTACTGTACAGAACTAACTAAGTGAGCAGTTTTACGAGCAAAGATGCATGAGGATGCTGTCTCATTAGGAAACCTACACGATCTTTTAACAGAATTGTAAACACACTTTTAAGTATTTGTTTTGTATTTTTCTGACATAAGACTCCGGTGAACAGTCTGGCTTGTAATTTTCTTCAGGTTTTATTAATAAACTGATGTTTCCTTATATAAACGTAAATAAATGTCTTTTTTTATTCTTTTAATGAAACATAATGTCATATTTTTGTTACATTTCTAAATCGTACTAAACGTTTGTTATTGCCTTTTGGTATCAAAATAATAAGAGGAAGAAGAACATTTTACTATCATACATCTGGTGCCTATTTGAATGGCAAATGTGACTAATACAACAAGTTCTACCACTGGTAAGTATAACAAAGTACAACATGCTAAACATGACAGGGATCCAAAAACTGTTCCTGGTGTTTTTTATTCCGTCTTTCACACAATAACTTTAGATATTATCTGGATGAGGTTTATTTTTCTGGAGTAAAAATATACCATGTGTAAAAGTGTAGAGAGGAAGATGGTCTTCCGGTTATTTTCATTGTTTCTCTCTTCTATTAATGTGGGAGATCATTTCTGTTCATTAAAGTATTGCATGATAAAATTTTGTTTTGTAATGAACCATGAGTAAACTGTTATCATGTACATACAACTAGTCTGTGTATCACGTAATATATCAAACCCAAACATTCTCTTACTGATATACAAGTAAAATTGTATTTGGGATATTATAGACAGACCTAAATCTATTCTAGATTTTGTTGTAAATATTAATTCTTTAATGATGCTATCAACTCAAGAAGTTTTTCTATAAGTAAGATGGATCGAATAGAACTGAAAAGAGAATATGTCAATGATGGTGTCCTGCTGAAACAAAACATTCTTGCTCTGACAGCTATAGGCGTATTGCGCAGGATTTGTGTTCTTATATGAATTAACTAACTAAATATATGTTTAACTCGCTTCAGTTCTCGCGTTAGTCGTTCTAAACCGTTCTTGTTGATATAAAAAATTGAAAATTCACAACAATCACATTCTTTCTCTTTTAGTAGCTGCTACCATTCCATTACCTGCTCTCGCATTTTTGATTGCTGTGGCAGTTTTGCTTCTGTTGGTCATATTGAGCATAATCTACTTGGATAAAATATTTTGTTTTCAAAACTATCGTCCGCACAAAGTTCTATTAAAAAAATTTAAGAAACGTAGCAAACCAGCAAGCACTAGTGCCAGTAGCAGTGTAATAGCACTAATTCCTGTTAGTCAAAGTACTCCCGATATATCAGGTAAAGGAATTTAAACACATTTTCATTACATTCCTTAACGAATTTTTCTCTCTGCTTAGCTAATCATGAAGTGACAAAATCAAAATCAACTAGCAAACACATTTGGTTCGCAGGAAAACAGTTTCACAGAGCAGACTTTGAAATTGAAAAACAACAATTGGAAGTAGAAGCAAAAGGTAACATAGAAGCAGTGAATAGTTTTAAAAAATCGAGAGTGATGTCTAGACTAAATAACGCAATTAGTGTAATACAGAATCGAAGGAAGTGAATGCTGTACTAAAACGTGTGATAAGTGTCAAACAGTACTTGAGAAATCTTTCGTAATTAAAAATAAGTTGTTAGACATTTAAAATGGATGTCTCAGGTATGTGAATATTTTATCAAATTTATTCTATTAGTAATCCAATGTCAAGTTATTTTTCACTTGACTCAATTTTCTTTCTTTCTCTCTTCTTTGTTCACTGAATGTGTGTTATGCTAGGATTGTCGAGAACAGAAAGACGCGTTTGTTCATTAACATTCAAATTTCTACATCAGTTTTCTGTTACACTGTTGCTTGTAATTCTAGTTGTGCTGAAGTTTGACTGAAATATAATTTGTATCTATCTATTTATACGTAAACTGTAAGTAAAATTCAGAAAAAAAACTGAGAAAATATGATAAAAAAAGGGAAAAAAGTAGCAAAATACTTAAAAAACTGACATATATAGAAACTAGTGAAGGAAATCCTGTTCTCAAGTTGTAAGATAAAGAAGATCTAAAATGAATAATAGCTATTTTGAAGCTAAACTTTAACACTATAATCAATACGAAAATTTTATTTTTCTCACTTGAATAATTATTAATTTAAACATTTAGACGGTAGATTTGTCGAGCATTAGTGTCTCATATATTTTAATTAAACAAAAATGAGAGACGGGTAGGGGGTGTTGCGTGATCTTTAGTCATTTTGTAGTTAAGAGTCTATTTTGTCTTCTCATTTTTGTTATTTCAGAAATGAATGCAGTTAATGTATGAAAATTGAATTTCTTTCTCATATGAATACATCTTTTTGTGTCGGACATAAATGATTATCGGCGAATTCTATCATGTGTTATTATCCATTTTTACGTAAGATTAAAGACGCGATAGCGTATTTTTTGTCTATCTAGTCCCAAAATACACTATACTGAAATGACACTCAAAATCATCTTGATCCTAGCATCCTGGCAAAGATAATAGCCTAATCTTAACATTACTGGTTATTTTATTGTTCGTATAGAAGAAATTTTGAAAGTTTTCAACAAAATTCATGTTCATTGGCGTTGGTGACAACCGATTTACATATAATCTGATTTTTATCTATATTCGCTATTCAAGTTTCAAATGCTCATTCTCGTTGTTGTTTATTGATCGGAGATTTTATGTCTGATATTTGAGATGCTTTCAATATCAATTTTCTTACAAGAGAGAAAATCTTCTTTTTATTTTTTTAGGCAACTTGCCAGATGATGATTATTCCACTGAACAACTAGTATCAAAAGACGTTTCAGGTGGTACCAGTGGTGGTCGTAAACTACCGCCAATACCTACAGTTAACGAAACTAAGCCAGACAATGCACTGTCAGAGAGTATGTTTAAACAATGTTATATCAGCTGGTTTAGCATCGTAGTTGCAGAAAAAGCTGAGTAATTTCCCATAGAGAAATTTTGTCCAAGTTTCACGACGTTGGGATCGTGCAATTACAACTCAAATGTGTGGTCAAGTGTGAACTTTTATATAATTTCACACGCGTTCACAAGCGAGAAATTCTTTTCACGTGTGTCCACACACCATTTTATGACTGTCACTAGTGATCACGTGTGGAAAATATGACGCTAAAGTTTCCGCGATCAGTTCACGCGCCCACAATGCCATAGAGCAGGCGGACATCTGCTTTTGTGAGTTAAAAAATGATTATTTTCGCATAATATAGTCTTATTATGTGTCAAATATTAACAGAAGTAAAAAAGGTCGAATTTGAAAAAAAAGTTGTTTTTCGATAAAAACCCTTTAGGTTTAGGTCTTACCCTGAATTTTTGTCCAAAAATATTTTATTTTGAAAACCATTTAATTATAAATCATTCGGTGCAGTTTTGCGCGCTGATTCCGAACATCATGTTACTTTACTATACAAACGATTCTGGGTTTTAGAAAAAGGATTTTACGTGAAAAACCGAAGGTTTTTGCGAAACCTGTATCTCTTGTTAGATAGATATGTACATTTTTGTGCATTGATAATAGATAGAGGAGGTGACGGCGAACATTTTTGTGTGATTTTGAGTCAGATTAGATGGGGGGAGAAGGGAGGTAAACTCATTACTAGATGACAACCTCTTACGAAACAGACTTAGTCTGGAAGTCGAATTTTTCTCTCCGATTTAACAGGCGCAAGAAGGATAAATTTTTTCCGGTTTTGTAAAAGAGAGTGTGTAGATTGTGTAGATTCAGAAGAGTTAAAGTTTTTAAAACCTTAGATCAGTTAGTCTACTAGAAAAAGCTATTTTTCTCAGAGATCGCTACGTTTCAGGCATTTTTTGTAGGGTACGGTTTTTCGAAAATAAGTGCACTTGGAGTAAAAATTTTTACATCATCCGATAGTCTGTCAGTTGAACTATACTTGACACTATTTGAATTTTGGAAAAGTGTACTTTCGATTTTTGGCTAAATGTCTTTCTGAATGCCCACTGTGCGCACACACCATTTTATGACATTCACGTACGATCACAGCTCATTCACGATATTCAAGGGTGTAGACGCCGTTTTATATACTAAAATTTTTCCATGGGTTGTTCCGACGAACGGCAGAAATCTTGCAAAGAATGTTATAAACTGGTAATTTCATCTCTGCAAATGGAAAGAAAATTTGGTTTTACTAATATATTATTCAATGTTATGTCTACGGTACTAATCCAACCTAGAGTTAGTATACTAATTTTAATTTTTCTCATCAAACAAGATAGCTGAAAAAAATTGAAAAAAAGATTAAAACAACTCTGCGTCCTGTTAGTCTTCTGTTCAGAGCTGTAGTTGTAGTGACGATATAGGTGACAATGTCGGAAGCTAGTTAACTGTAGAGAAAATATCAAGCTAATGAAACTGCCATTCGGCAGCACCCTGCACCAGATACGCTAGCCATAAGGCGGAGTATTCTTCCTTCTTTTCTCATTCTGCTCAAAAAATTAGTTCTCCTCCACTAAGGTGGTGTCAAAGAGTTGGTAGACTGGAGCTGGGATATGGTTTTCTAGGATTCTGGTTTGAAAAAATCCGAATTCTATGCAGTTTTTTCGAATGTTTCTTCTGATAGGAGATATTTTCAGTTATTCAAATTTTTTTTTCAATTTTTTTCAGCTATCTTGTTTGACGAGAAAAATAAAATTAGTATACTACCTCTAGTTAGGATCAGCACTACATGTAAAAGAGATCAATCTCGAAGATGGGATTTCCACAATAATAAGTGTCACAAGACATATAGCATAGTAAAACGTTTTAGACATAAAATAATAGAAAGTTCAAGACTACCTTCTCTTGTATGATATAGGTCTACATTGTTTGCATTTAGGTAAAAGAAAAAATCCCAAAGCACAATTAGATCGCCGGAAAATAATAAATAGTGAACACGATGGCCCCAGACGACGATCATTAAGTCTAATTGTTGATAGAAGAAAATCCGTTTCAGTTAATGGAAGAGTATGAATAAATGGTTTTTTCTTTATTAATTGTGTTTTGTATATAAATATTTCGATATTTCAGTCTTCTTTTAACAATTCACCTACTTTGGGTCATTCAGTGAAGTACAATCGAATAAGTAGAGTTAGCGATGAGAGTGCCGATAATGTGAGTGATAACTTTCGATCTCCTTGTTAAATGAAATCTATCAATTGTTCGTCCACTGATAGGATTCTGTCTCGGCATCAAGTGATCGTGGTACTGCCGGTAATTTAAATAATATATTAACATCGGGCACATTAGAAGTTCGTTTGAAATATGATGTTAAAACAAGTAAAATGTGGGTATTTGTTATTAAAGCTAATTTTGAAACAACAAAAAAGCTTTCAAAACAAACACTAGTACAAATTCATTTGACTGTTTTACCCAATAAACGTATTCGATTTCGGACAAGATCAAAGCAATGGGAAGATACAATGTTTGCAGAAGAATTCTTCTGCAAAGTTTCACCAGGTAACAAATTGATTGGTTATTTAAGATTCATCAACTTACTAATCACCCTTTATTTTATTTTTTTGTAGAAATAATGCAAACTCAAGGCATCCGTTTTCGTTTATATATGAATGAACGTTTAAAACGACAACATCTACTTGGCGAAGCAACCGTGATGTTTGGATTAATTAATCTTGAAGAAGACATGTGTAAATTAATAACTTTTGAACCCAAATCAATGTTGTATGTAAGTAACACATCTATTTAGATTCTTTTGTACTACTTAGTTCTTCTCTTCATTTAGATACCAAAAGAGTCTGATTCTGGTACTGGTATTCATACTACAGACAGTGTACTATCATCTCGTCGAAATTCATCATCAATAACACAATCACAAATTCCTGAAATCGAATTAGGCTTAGCGTATGATCGCATACAAAGTCATCTTATTGTAGAAATGGGAAAAGGATTTAATTTTGGTGTAGCTACACAGGGCAGAGCACCAGGTAAAAGAATTAGAACGCAACTTTCTCGCATGGTTTTTTAGAAAATTGAAAAAGGTTATGTTTTTCGGATGTGGCAAAGTGAGATTTTTGATAGAAAAATAATAAGAAATACGAGAAATTTTAATTAAGATTTAAAGAATCTCCCCCTCCCCCCTCCCATCAACACCAACAAAATCCTCTTCAATGTTTATAATTAAGATTTAAAAAAAGCTTTTCAGTTATTTTGACCTTCATAAGTGCCTTTGTAGAAAATCAGGTTTCTCATTATTATCCAAGCAAAACGATTTGTCATATTAGAAGAAGGAAAGAATACCATACATTTTGTGTAAAAATTTTTGAATAATCGTACTTGCGCAGTATGTTTAATGAGTATCCAAAAAGTACTTTACTAATTGATTATACACCTTTATGATCGTGTGCGAATGTCTAAAGCTTTTCATGTCAAGATTTAGATACATTAACAGATCAAATAATAAAATACAACAAATTAAGGGCGAAGAGGAACGACGTAACTTTTTAGAAAACAAAACTTTTTCTCTCTAATTGAAATTTTTCGATCCGAATAAGCAATTCTCTTTCTATTCTAGAAAAATTATACTTGAATAAAATTATTTTGTGCTTGTCATCATATACTCGAAAGATTGCATACTTCGTCCATCTCTGCCACCGCATTGTTTATTTTAGATACCTGTGCTAAAATTAGTCTTCTCAATATAACTGGCGAGGAAATAATATCGAATCGTACCGTACTTAGACGATCTCAATATCATCCTGTATATGCTGAAAGATATTCATTTAATATTCAAGAAAGTTTACTAGACACGATAACGTTGTTGATAACAATATTGAACAAAAAAAATATTCGAAAAAGTGAACCACTTGGATGGATTGCATTTGGTATGGGCAAATATCTTTTATATTAATTATATGTTTTAGGCAAATTTGAGATATTTTTAATGTTTAAAAATGTTTTACGTTATATTTTTTTGCTTCTTCCTCTGTCGAAGACGAAAGAGCCTTCCAATCTTTTAGTTAAACGTTTTTCCAAGATTCAATTTCCTTACTGATATGATTGATCAATTGTTTTTTATTTCGAAAGATTAGAAGTTGAATAATTTTAAAACTGCTAGAATATTTATTTCAAAAACAACACAAATATCAAGATATATTCTAATTGAAAAGAAAAACTTTATTTCCTCTTCAAATATATTGTAAAGATTTTTGATAGGAAAAAAAGTTTTTCTCACTACATTGATTTTTAAAATCTAAGAAAAGAATTTAGAGAAGTGATTTATAGATTTTTTTTCTGATATCTTGATATACATATAAATTGCACGTCAGGAATAGTTTGTTTTTCTCGTTTTCCTTTGCCAGATAATAAATATATTTTATTTTATTTATTTTTTATTAAGACGTACAGAATTATAGAGTTTACACTATTTAAAATCATCGGAAATTCTCTACTTCGTATACGGAAAATTTTCTTACTATATAGAAACTTGTTGATTATGTCTGATAAATTGAGTGATCTAAGAGAAGAGATCTAAGTACTACAGGAAAGTACAAGAACAATCTAACAGCTGGAATGAAACTCTATTGGAAACTGAAAGTCTATTAAAAATTAGTCATTAAAAAAAGACTGTGTTTCATTAAATAAGAGATTTGTCACCTAAAAACGTTTCCTCATAAAAATTTAATTTACTTTATATATGTACGTTTTCTCTTTGTTTGTTATGCAGGTCAGGGTGTGAATGGTGATCTACAAATAGCCCATTGGGATTCGATGCGAAATGCCAATGGTGAAACAATTACGAGACGTCATATTCTACTAGAAAGTTAATTCTATTGTATCTTTTTGTGCATTTATATTTTTCTCGTTTATGTTTTGCTATACGATTTTCAACTTAAATATTTAATTTTATTTCATTAGAAAGTATTACCTACGTGAAAAAAAATTCTTGACGTTGAAGACATAAAGAAAAATTTTCAAAAAGAGTCGATCATTTTTCTGAGAAAAGAAAAGTAATAGGTCGTAGAGAGCAGATACCATACTACTAAAGATGAGCATCCATCTATTTTCATTTCGATATAAGAAAGCGCGCTTAGGCTGAGACGCAACTGGATGTAAACTGTTTACCTCGATTAAAAGAAAGTTCTGTCCAGATGTGTGTGTGCAGAATTAAACGGATTTGTAATGATAAAACGGCAAAATAGCGGGAGTATGCCAATATGGTTCGTAGACTAGGACTACATAGGCATTCCGTTACGAACACAGTATCAAAAATCAACAAAATTGATAAATGATATAGAATAACACTCCTCAAACCTTACTATGTGACTCAACAATTGATGACTCATGCAATCAAAAACAAATAAGCGCCATCCATTTTTTTAATGTGTGAGACTCAAATTCATTCGATAGAAATTTCGATTATAAACCGAAATTATGATATATTCTGTCTGAAGCAATCAAATTTTCCGGATAATTAATCCTTAACGAGAAAAGACGCTGATGGTGCTACCGTATGCCACTATCCCAAAATGCTCAATAGCGCCACCATCGATTTCCTCGTGTTTATTTGAGAGGTCTAAGACTTTTGATATTTCCTAACTATAACCGAAATTTCTATTCAATGACTTTGAGTTCCACACATTTGAGATTGAGATTTTTTCATGCACACAGTACCTAAAGTTGACCCGAAAAGCAAACTAATACAGAGAGCTCTCAGATAATTTCAATAAACAGTTTCGATGACAATTGCGGAATTGAAAAATGATATTTCGCCAGTATTCCTACCCTGATACGAATGGTGGAGATACATGTTCACATATAATGCTCTTAGCACCTTCACCCAAATCATTTCCTATGTGGTATTAATCCCTGAAAAATCCGCGACTTTTACGTAACTTTGCGTTCGATTGTTGCGATACTTTGTCACGATTAGTCGGCGATATTTTTGCGTCTTGGAGATTAGTCGCGACTAGTCGGACGATTTTTTTTATAGAAAGGAGATCTAAGATAGAATCGGCCTATGAGAAATTTCCTTTTTTTCTTTTCTTCATGGTTTTGCACTTTAATGACTTTCTTATGATAGTATCGACTACGCGGACCCTCTTCATCCGATTAATCGGTTTGAGGCACTACCGAGAACTCGAGTTGTTCATCGGGTCTCTCGATTTTCGAAAGCTGACCCTTATCGAAACAACGCGTCAGCTCTGAGGAGGCTACAAAGAACACTCTGGACGAATCTCCCTAAAAAATTAATCTAAAAGAAAAGATTAAATCGAAAAAAAGAGACAATTGCCGTCGAAATTCATGTTTATTGTATACTTGGTCAGCTGCAAAATAAAACGGTGAATGATTGGAAAACCCAAAATCGGCAACTAATCGCGATTAGTCAGGGATGTTTTGAGAAATCGCGACTTGTAAAATAATCAATGTTTAATCGTGATATTTTAACAGTCGCCGACATATTGCGATTAAACGCGACTTTTCAGAAAACCGTGATAATCGCCGATTTTTAAACAACATTGAAGACATGGATTGGAATTCTGGGATTCATTGATTCCTTCCGATCACCTTGATGAGCCTGGTTTAACAGTTTGTTCGTAAAAGGTCGACCGCTTTTGCCCACTGAGAGTTATTATATTGAAAGCAAAAATGCGAGGTTGAGTACGTGGGAGAAACCGGAAGTTCAGCAGGAGTTAGATTTTTGGACCACACATCTAAAATTAGAACGATTGATGAGATGTTAGTGGGTAGACATTCCAGTGAAAACTGACACTTGATTACTGATGTATTTATTTATTGAACGTTTTTAAAAACATAATTAAATAGGTAATCAA